TTCAGATGTTCCATTTGCTCCTGAAAATTTTCCACTGAAACAACTTTTGTTATCATGGTAAACAACCTCTGTTACCCTCAGTTACCAAGCAGCAAATTTTAATGAGCAAATGAGGACACACCTGTGGCAAAGTCAGTTTCTGATCCCATCGGTTTCAAAATGACAAGGAAATTCAACTCTTTAACTTAATTGATTTTTATCTTGATCTAATGGTTTAATCGATTTTAAGGAAAGCTTACTCCGATATCAAAGGTAACCACAAATTGAACGATACTATGAACAATATAATTATTGGCTAAATAAAATTAAACGGGAACAATACGTGACATATTTAAAACCCTTTAACGCAATATGCATTGCGGATTGATCAGATCAAAGTTTCGATTAAAATAGAATTAAAACGAGGAAACAGCCGTCAAAACACAACTGAATTTGTATCGTCTATCTACCCCGTTTGTGAAATACTTTTCAGACATTGATATTGAAGCATGCTATAAACAAACACAAATATCAACTTCAACTTAACCAAAATGTAAGCATATTATCGCGTACCTTTCAATTCAACACCGCCCGCACATCCTTTGCTTGCAGCTTCGCGTGTTGTTGTTTTGCTGGACGCATAGCAGCCCTCACAATCACCTTTGTTCACAATTTCGCGACAGCGAGAACAAATGAATTCACTGCGTTCTGCCTCTTCCTCGGGCACTAATGAAATTGCACCATCCAACTCTATTTGCGTGTTACTTCCGTACGTGAAATGAAGGCTTCTTAAAGTAGCCGGCATTGCAATGGCGCCTCCATCTTCTCTTTCGATCACTTTTTTGCTGTCTTCTTCAGGAATTGACCAAAATATTTCTTCTTCGCCGCCAAGGGCGCGATCAAATTGTGAATCGATGAAGGCGTCAACATCATCACACTCTACAGGTCCAAACTTTTCAAAAACGTCGTCCAGTGCATCGAAGCCCACTTCTTGCGAAGACGACATTTTGTGCACACACAAGCACGCGTGCAAATGGAATCACTTTATGGTACTTGTTGATTTCCTTTTTCCTTTTCCTCAAATCTCTTATCCAAAAGTGATATTTACAAATTAAGAATATTAGAACCTGTATACTTGTTACAGAAAGAAGACGGAAAAGCGCCCGCACGGTCTGTCTAGGTTTCCACAATAGTTTGCCACGGGTTCTTTTGGAAACATAAAAAAAAGTGACCGCTAGTCTTTATACTATGAGTAGCGCCAGATTACAATAATCTGCAAATCTACCCACTTTTAAGACCTTGTTGTAATTTTATCACACTCCATTTGACCAGCAAACAGCAGTGAGTGATAAATATTCCGTGGTAAGGATACGTAAAATGAATGGGCTGAGTCATACCTATAAATAGCAACCAATCAAATTGATCCAAAAGGAACGGGCCCAGGCAAACATCCTTTCTTTTCCCGCGCAATGAGCCTTCATTGATTGAATTTTTTTTTCTTGATCTCTTTGTGAACCTGAAAATTGACTGAAAAATTCGTCTAAATTAAGTGACATATTCGCCAGAAACTTTGAAAGAATGCCATTTTTCGTTTTAAATGAAGTTCAAATTTCCGCCTTCCAGTCGCGGTTGTGGTTGCCAAAGGTCAAACAGAAAATTCCGACCGGTCCGACCGGGAAAAGTGGTCCACCTCAAAAGGTGGACCAGGGGTGCTTACCATTTGACAGAAAATTTCGGAAATTCCTGATGGAAAGTAAATGGTAAGGTCATTTTTCGGAAATTCCAACCGAAGTTTGGGTTTTGAGGTAGTCCTTTCATTCCGGTTGGCACGAACCAAACGAAATGTTACTTACCATTTACCTTACCCCTCAGGCCACCTTCCTTCACGAGAGGTGCACAGAAAATCGGAGCTGCACGATGCTTACATGGTGATGTGCATGTCCAAATGTTGTTGCTGATGCCTTTATTTGAACAGTTACTGCGTTTACAGACTTTATACCTCCCTATACATGCATGCACTTATATACATTTCCGTGTGCCTATAAAAATTTACCTGTCACTTTATCAGGTCTTATCAGAACGTTGCATATCACACTCACATGGTACCAGGGCAGCGCGGAAACTAGATGGCCGATCAACTCTGTGGAATCACGAAATTTCCAATGTATTAGCATTTTATTTAATGTAATTAATTAATTAATTAATTTTTTGTTCGTTGTATCCACTTATATAATTAGAAATCTTTTATATTTTTTCACCTACTAGGGCAGTGTATTAGTTTTACTATTTTTGCCCTTTTTCTCTTTAGTCATTTCTTAATTACCGAATTATCCGTTTCTACTGAACTTGACTGTATAACCTATAAAGAGAAATAAAATTGACTACTAAATATTACACTCAGCAAGGTTTAAAAATACAATGATAGAGCTTCTGAAGACTTCTACAGATATACAAACCTCAAAGGAATTTGATGCCCTTAACTGCGACTGTTTCTAAAAATATCAACTTGTTACAATTTATCATAACTGAACGGAACTTTCAACTATGAATTACCAACTTATGTATATGGCTAAGATATCAATAAAATATCTAACAGTAAAATGCAATGGAGTGATTTCATCGGTTCCCATGATGGTCGCTCATGTCTTACTGAAATGAAATGTAACAAAGTGACAGTTAGTTTTCAACTTCTGTTTTGACATACTGGACCACGAAGTTTTTGTACTCTGTAACTGCATTTTTTGTCCCAGCCTATATTTTATATTGTTCCTTGAATTACATAGGCAAAATCTCCGACTGGATTTGCAAATTCTTTCGTCCGACTTTGGCCCACGATATTCTGCAAACGCCAATTGTACCACGTGACCAGGTTCCCTTAACTTGTCCTTCACTGTTTCAAGTTATTTTAACGACACAAATATAAGTAGGTTCACGCCTGTTTCATCCACAAAAAATCATTTTGTAAAGTTTTATCTGTTCATTTACTATTTTCAGAAAATGTCAACTTGAATCTGACGTTTGCGCTTTGCCGTGAACGTTATTCTAAATCTCTCTATCGACTGTGGAATGCTAGTGCACTATCCTCAAGGGATTTTTCCGTTAAATTGAACAGTTTTCTTTATGAACCAATTGAAAATAATCAAGAGTATTTCGTCAGCTTCATTAACCTCTATGACCTTCATATTGGGGAGTGGAAGCGGAATCATGAATCATAGTTACAAAACTTGTAAGAATCATGAATCTTTGTACTCCGCCTCGCGTATCATGAAAAACGAGAGTCTGAGAAAAGTTCAACAAACTAGACATTTGAATTAATTGCGTTCGATCCAGCGAATACAGGACATGGCATTTCCGAGAGTCCAGGATTTTCAAATATTTTTCCGGGGGAACATGCCCGTGGACCCCTATAATTCGTGCATTCGGGATTGACAATCCGCTCGCTTCTCCAGTAACACTAGTGCTTAATGTTCAGCTACAAAACACTCCATACCTGGACAAAACGAATGATGATACCGAGAAACAGTGGTCCAAAATCTACATGTACGTAATTCGGGATGAAAACAGGAGTTTGAACGTACACCAAAGAAACTATACGAAACGAGGCTAAGTAGCCAATGAGAAAGTCATTAAATATATGAATAGCTTTTTATAGGTATAGAGTCACGTTTACGCCTAAGTTTTCTCCTTTAATTTTCATTTACCTGTTTATTACTTCTACTCAAAAATAAGTAGTTTCACGCTAGTTTTATCCATAAAAATTGTTCTGGACAGTTGTTATCTTCTTATTTTCTATTCTGAGTAATAGCCCACTTGAATCTGACGCTTGCCGTTTTGTCGTGGACATGCCTCTTAACTCTCTCTATTAAAGCGACCGCCAATCCAAAACATCACAATTTTTCCAGTCAAAGCCCTATACTTGCGACCACCTCTCATATAAACGAACATGGCCATTCTTTGGGCTTGAAGGTTTTATAGTCTTCCATAAGTAACCTCTTGTAAGCGATCACTTAGCGAATGGTGTGGTATTTTTGTCCGCTTCACGAACCATGCCACTCCGAGTATACGAAAACTTTTAGTAACAACATGGAACTACACGTATACGTAACTTAGAAATAGCACGCAATTAACTCGCTGCCAAAAAGTAGATGTGTCGGAACCTGTTCTCGAAAGAGACCCCCTGAGTGTGGTTCTATTCTTATATAAGCCACCACCTCCCGTAAGTGACACTAACTCCGTTTGAATTTTGAGTGGTCGCTTACGGGAGGTTTGACTGTATACATTTACGATCACGAGATTTTTACGCCCTGAATATCGCTACAAAACTCATCTTATATCATTTTATCTCTCCTATACTCATGGTACTGCACTGTACTGTACGTAGCCGGGACAAACGAACAAACTAGATAACTTCACTGATAGCATTCTTTGTTTACTAAATGTGTTCCGGAAGTAATAGTATGAGGAACGCTGGAAGGATGCATCTGATGAAAGTGAGGCTACCGACCCATGACACTCAACGCTCAATCGATTTGCCTGCTACCTTCGTAGCAACAGAACGGGAACGTCAATTGACCACGGCGCATTGGGCACCGGGGAGTCGCGTTTGTCCTCTCCGCGCGGTTTCCCGTCGTCAACTGACGTTCCCCAGTTCTGTTGCTAAATCAGCCTGATTAACTTTCTCGAGACACCGTAAGAATAATTCAGAAAACGAGAACTGGTTCGTGCGTCCAGGTCATTGGTAAAGTAAAGTTTTTAAATTCCGTAAACTAATCAGGCGGTACCAAAAAGCATACCGTTAATGTTCGAATAAGCGCCGCTTCCCTTCCCTTAAGGTTAAAAACATCTCAGTAAGCGCTCCTCTTCAAATAAGCTTCCCTGCCCTCTAACCCTCCTAACTGAATATACTCATTTCAAGGAATACCGAATGAATAAAATCAAATGCAAAATGCTTTATTGACATTTGATCTCGTTTAGACCAGAGACCCAGAGTCCTGAATATATACATTAATTTGAATATATACAAACCTATATTATCATTATTGCTCTAGTAAGTATATGCTAAGGTTAAATAGAGCTCTTCAATTCTCGCCCATTATCATGCAAAGGAATTTACCATTTTCTTTTCCATGCAGTCACCATCTCATTCCCAAGATTTGCTGCAAGTTCAACCAAAAATTAGTATAACTATAAGTGTCTTCTAAAACAATGAAACAAGAACATTCTGTATGTAAAATTTAATAATATAACTTAAAAAAATAGCAGTAAAAATCGAAGTACTAGTACGTAACTGACTTTTTTTACGTAGGATTTGTAATGCCATGCCCGATAATCTTTTGTAAAAACTCGTATCACCTCCTCAAATAGAAGTAAAAAAATAATCTCGGGTTTGATATCATTAGTTGAGGTTGCACGTATTTTTCTGGGCATGGAGCAGGATACATGCCGACTGGCTTTGATTTCTGGTTATGTGGCATTACTTTTAACTTTCAACACTCAGTCAGTTTGCATCAAAATAAGCGCGATATACTAAGGAACAGTGGAACCAGAGAGACTCACACGTGCCCTGATCAATATTTGTTTAGCAAATTCTATACCATACTATCCTACATTAAACTAATGACTACACTACACTGCACTACACTGCACTGCACTGCACTACACTACACTACACTACACTACACTACACTATACTACACTACACTACACTACACTACACTACACAACAATACACTGCACTACACTGCACCACACTGGGCTGTACACTACATTACACCACACGGCTACACTACACTACACTACACTACACTACACTACACTACACTACACTACACTACACTACACTACACTACACTACACTACACTATACTACACTGCACTGCACTACACTACACAGGGCTGTACACCACACTACACTACACGGCTACACTACACTAAACTGGGCTGTACACTACATAGCCTGTTCCAGGCTCCGAGATAGTCGGGACCGCGAAATTTGCTAAAGCACGAACACGAAAATAAAACCGGAGGAAACTGGGGAGAACCACCGCCCCCTTTTCCCAGATCACACTCTCATGTTTTCGAGTGCCTTTCACTAATGCGTCACCCTAGACTTTCTCAAAGCCCGTCGGCGTTCACGCAGTCGACTTGTGGCAAGTCTAGCGTCACCCGGCGTCTCCCCCACTATGGCACAGGCTATATACTACACTGTACGAAAACACTACATTGTACTGTACAGTACTTTAATGAACTATACTATGTTATGCTATACTACGCTCTAGACCATAATTTGCTATATACTGCCGTACTATGCGATACCATGTCATACTATGATATGCTATCCTATAATACACCAAGACAATCTTCTACACGCCTGGAAAAAATTAGCCCTTGTCGGCCGTGAGCAATGACAGCGTACTGTGTTCGCAGAGTACTTTTTGGAATTGCCTCTTTAATTTTTTAACTTCCACGACACAATTTTCTTCTGTGACAGTCATTCCTGCCCTGATCACCAAGGCAACTAGGAATCCCTTCTTGGAGTGTACGAAACAACGGAACACTGTTTTTCATCATTGTCCTTCCTTGTTAGCAAGCTTTTAATTGTTCCAATTGCTGATTTCTGTTGCGTGAACTGCAAGATAAAGACGCCTCGCATAAGTAAAAACGAAGGTTTTTTACTTTCACGAAATTCTTATAAATAGCGTAGCTCTCGAACAATTCATTACCCCCCCCCCCCCCCAAAAATATACTCCCCAACATACAAGGGGGGGGGCCATCGCGGGGGGGGCCAGGGGAAGAGGCCTTTTTTTCTTAATATTTTTTGTTGCCGCCGGGGATTTTTTTAAACAAAAACAAAAAAAAAAAAAACAAAAAAAAAACGACGGAGACATGTTGAGTCATAAATTTACCCCCCCCCCCCCCCTAAAATATCTACTGTCCAAATGTCAAGGGGCGGATCCATGGCGGATGGACCAGGGTAATCGCGATTTATTTCCTCAATATTTTTGGTCACGACGGTGAATTTAATTACACACAACAAGTAAAAAGTAAATGAAATACTAGCCGAGTGCGAATTTGGGATACCTACATTTAAGCACACTTCATCTACTCCTTCATCTTTGCTAGGTGAGGGTCCTTCAGCACGTGCGACGTCTCCGCCTGATTTCAGTTGTTTTGGCCTTGCTCCTGGGTCTGAATGTCTCGAAAGCTTCTACACATAGCCAATAAAATTAAAAGTACAGTCAGTTAGTTCTATTATCACACTACCTTAGAGAGTTATATTTGTGTCAGATAAATTCAAATGAATGGCATTTAGCAACTTAACCAATACTGAGAGGTAAGGTAGCTGGAGAAGACAGAAAGAATCCACAGTAATAAAACCTATAATCTATACAGCGCGCAGGATCTATACCGTTGGGACGTAATGGCTGGAAGGGGAGGGTGAATCTCTTTCCAGGGAAGACGCTTCTCCATATAGACGGGGCCTTACTCAAAGGCGCTTTCTACTAAATTTAACAACAAAAATTTCAGTTGTAAGATTAAACACACCACACTTCATAATAAACAATAAAAATATTATGAAGATGACAAACCTCTTAAAAAGGAACTGCTAGTTCTTTTCACTTGGAACCTGTGGTGAAAAACTGATAACAAACTAGAGTACAGTTACTTACTTTTTTACTGTCGCTTGGCTTCTCACTCGTGACAAGAGGTTGAGACACTGGAGTCTTAGGGAGGGGTTCGGGCTGCAAATCATGAAAAAAAAAAAAACAATTTCTAGTTAACAGATGATTGCTGACATCGATGTTTGGGTCGACCGAGGAAACTGACTAAGCTCGGCCTTGGACTTTGCATTACTTGTAACACTACATCAGAGGATGAATATGAGACAGCTTTTTGCCACTTATTGATATCATCGTCGCCAACACCTGTTTTTGTCTCGTGAGCCCAAACTTGGCACCGAAAAATAAAACCACGCCCTTGAAATGAGTTTCCAAATCTACTTCTGCGTTTTCCGATTTTATATAAATCTCTCTTAAGCTAAGTTATGACCTAAGGTGATCTTATGATTCCGTGAACAAGACTGTTATCTGTCGAAAGCTTTAAAATAATTTCGATTTTCCTTCGCTGCTGCTTGAAAAAATGGTGATAATTTATTGACGTAATTAACACAGCGAATAATGTGTTTACTGGACCAAAGTCTTGCTTCTTAATAATAACCTTACGTCTCACGTTAGCTTTGAATTCGACCTCTGTTCTGCAGAATGGCAAATAAAACCAGAGTGACTTACGGATTTGAAGAGACTTCTCCACAGGTGATCTAGCAGCTCGACCTGCCTTTGCCGGTTACTCTGATAAGTTTGTAGCTTTTGAAAATTGCCTTTTTCTTCCTCAGTCATTTTCTTTTGCAAAGATTTTAGATCATTGACCCTGTGTATAACGTCATTGTGTGCTGCTCTGAGCCCATTATTGGCCAGATCGTAGTAGTCTCCCTTCAGGTCTTCGCTGCATTGACAAGCTTCACCAACCAAAGCTTGCATTGCGCTGTATAGCTCTTGCAAACGCCTGGAAATCTTTGTTAGCAGATCTATTTTGACTGGTGTATCTAGCTGATCTTGTTGTACTTCTGGAACCTCCAAAGGTGATATCACGTAAGCCTTAAGCCGATCGTCTACATCTTTTAACTTATCACTGACTGAACGCTCTCGAGCAGCTTGATCAGGTTCTTCTACGTATACCACATACTACAATGGCCATAAAGAGAAAAAAGAATACATGGAATAAACAGCGGTGCAAACTAAGGTTAATTGACGTAAGAAAGGTTTGAACTTTAGCTATTTGAGGGAGGACTAGTTAGTCATCTTCCGTTTCTAACATGGTATACCAATAAGACTATGTTCCACAAAGTAGCTTTTCCTTGTTTCCAAAATGAATAATAATAATAATAATAATAATACACTCTGTTGAGACGGCATAATCTAATACTCGAGTGGTTTCTGTTGTAAATCGCCTTATGGGAAGGTATTTCCGTGCGCAGTTTATGACCAGTAAGTTTTTCTCCTTCGCACCCACCCCAAGTAGTGTTCCCACCCCCTCTCCTCCCCCTCTCCGCCCCACGCCGGGAGCTTTGTGTGCAGAGCTCGGCCTGAGCCACGCATATGTTCCGTTTGCGGTAAACTTAGGAGGGAAGATAACCTTGGTTTGAAGAACTCCTTCAAGAAAGACTGAGCACGTGATTTACTACCTGTTCATGTAGCCCTGCGGCTTCCAATCCTAGTCTAGCACGCAATTCCTGGTTCTGTGGGAAAAATAATACCAACAAAAAAAAATAAGACAAACTTTAGGAAAGCGGTACACGTAAACCAACCCACGGCCTGGCCAGTACCTCACGCATGCACACAGCCATATCACCTGGGAAGTGGTAGGCATGGACATCAGCATGTTTCGCCCTTATTAGGGCTCATCAGCATGGCATAGCCCGTCGGGTTTATGAACGGGCACGCCGTTGAAGAACTGCCGTGCGGTTCCCAGCCAACAGCTCCCACAAGCGTTGTGTGGAGCTGACGCTTAAACGAGTGCTTTTGCACTCGCTTGGCTTGGCCCGTTCATAGACCTGACGGCAATACCATGCTGATGAGCCCCAATAAGGGCGAAATAGCTGTCCATGGCTGCCCCTGCCCTTAGCCCCTGCCTAGGTGATATAGCTGTGCGCATGCGTGAAGCACTGGCCTGTCAACACACCAATAGGGCACTTCCGAGTTCCAAAAACCCTCACTTTCAAAATGAGGCCAAGTGCACAACCTTTCTTGTGAAAATGAGTTATATTTGCATTAGAATGAAAAGTCATTTCTATATCAAAGGCTGAGCGCTTAACCTCGTTTTGATACAGAGGTCTGGGTGAACTCGGAAATTGTCTATTAATGTGCGAAATATTTTTTTAAATTGAAAAACGAATGTCACAATAGGGCCATTTATACGAGGAAAAATAAGGCGCGTCTTACATAAGACGCGAACTTTCCGTATAAACGGCACATTTCGTCGAAAATAAGACGCGGCTTAGCTAAGACGCGTCTTATTAGATAAGACATGCTGGTATAAATGGTACAGTTTGCGTCTTATTTAAGACGCGTCTTATTTTTCCTCGTATAAATGGCCCTAATGTTTCGTTCTTGCGATTGTTTATCATCGTCTTTTTGCGTTTAAACCGGCATCCGCACTATTTAATTTCCATTTCTTTTAAAACTTTTACGCTGTCGGCATGGGGTGAATATTAATGTAATACAAGCAGCAATAAACACTCAGAGGCGCAAAATCAGTTTTACGAAATGCAGCTTGCCTTCACTAATTGCTGTCTTTATTGATACGATAATTTTTTATAAAAAGCCACTTTCGGATTCGAATCGGAGATTCGAACTTCAGTCTCATGGATATTTGTAGCTTACCTCTTCTTCCAATTCCTTAATTCTGGCACTCATGCTAATAACCTGTGTACGGAGCAACAAGAAATGCATTAACATTTAGACAATTTTTCTCCGAATGGTCATGTGGACGTTTCAGTTTACACGCAAGTGCACACTTTTTACGTTCTTATATATTTTTGATACCTTTGCTTCCAAACTGGATAACTGATCTTTCACCTCACGAAACTCCTGGAATCCCTTGATCTGGAAAGAAATGCAGATATTCTAAATAAGGATTTTTGCACAGAAGGACTTCGACTTCGATGCAACATAAGATATCGGCAAAGACGCCGGGGTTTTAAACCTCACAAGAAAGCAGAGGGATTTTTAAATGCAGAAATAAAACATTCAAGTTTAATTTCGAAATAAACCAGGCCCAGTTGTACCACTATCTACCGATACTCGGATTAATCGCCATCCGGTGGATAAGTATTCGGGAAACCAATAGCGTTATATATCTGCTGGATATATTTAACAATTATTCCTCGAGCCCGGCCGAATGGGCTCTAAGTCAATAGCCCTTGAGACTGAAGGCCGAATAGGCTATTGACTCAGAGGCCATTCGAGCTCGAGGAATAATTGTTTTAGTAAAATCGAACTATTTGGTAAAAAATCAAGTCAAATCAAGTTAAAGCCAGAATTTTTAAAGGATTAAAATCATTTTTTGTCGCTAAAAAGCCGCGCTTTTCGCCACTAGTGGGCTAGACCAGGAAAACCAGTCCATGTTCTATGTTATATATTTCTACCCCTTTAATATGAAAAACACTGCCTTTGCTGCCATGACCCGCCTAGATTGGCTTTACTACCCGCGGGCATGTAATAAATTGTACTTTTACCATAAAACACAATAAAAAATGTATGTAAAATGTGTTATGCCAGGTTAACCTCTTGGATCTGCAAGGTCCTTTTGTTTTCGAAAGGTTGAAAATGCCATATCCACTGGATAAATCTCTTTCCAAAGGATAGTCAACTGATAATGGAATTTGTTTTCCCAATAATTATCCATTGGATAGCCACTATACACTAAATGACCTTATAAACGCCCAGGACGTCTATTCAATTTTAGGGGTCCAAGCGGGGGCTTTTAAAAGAGAGAGGCGTTTATTCTCATAACTGTGACAAGCTCAACAAACCTAATATGCTTTCGGCAAAACTATCACGAGAGTTGAAAACAGGGGAATATCTCTTCCATTAATTGATACGTCTAGGCCTTCTAGAGATTCATATCGCTGTTTCAAATCCCGACATCGATGTCAGAATCTTCGCTCAGAGTTATTGTGTTGCCATCATTAGTCTATCCTTGCTTAGAACATTACTTGACATTGAACAAGATGAAATACGCAAAGCCTTGTTATTCAAGGCTTTGCGTATTTCATTCAAGCAAGAATTAAACTGAATGAATCGGATGATTTTGCTTCTTTTAGCTTATTCTTAGTATTTTGGAGTAATTCTAATAGGGGGCCTCTATTAGGGAGGGGGGGGGGGGTAGTTAGAAATTAATATTCTGATTGCACGGTATAGCGGCGCGCTGGTGTTCCTGGGATATAGTATCGGACTATTTATGGTTTTGGCGCGAGACTTGTGCCATTCTACGTCAGCTCTGTCCGTCTGATAGTTTTCGTTTTGTTTTGCAAATTTTCCTTTTCTATACTTTTTATTTTGTTGCGTCTTCAGATCTGTACATGTTTTGGAATAATGTTTCTTATTTCGCGGTATAGTTTATGAATTAAGTATTTAGACACACTTCCACACATTTTTTGGCCACTTCCCAAGGGTGGTATTTTGGTGGTTTTTCGTATCTGGCGTGGTACAAGTTCTAGCTTAGAACATATGTGAGTATTTTGCTAGAGGGATATCATTGCTGATACATCTGCATCAGATGACTGACTGACGCATCCTAAATAAAGGTTTTCATATTGAATATGGGGGAGTCAAAATATACAATTTTAACAGCATAGAGGGAGCGTTTATTTGGAAGTGGGCGTTTATTAGGTCATTTACGGTTTATTCCTAGCATGCACCAGTAAAACTACTGGCGTATTAAAGCTACACAAGACGCTGCATTAAACTTTATTCTAACTTCTCCACTACATCCGTTTACCTGGATTGGATCTTTTCTTGGGCAAATCAATCTGTCAGCCACATTCTTGAGTCCTATACTTCTTAAAGAGTCAGCCAATATTCCAGCTGTTGCATCCCTTCCCTCTCGGCCCATCCATCGAACCAGAAGGTCCGTGCAGCACTCCTTGGGATTGTTGCCATTTTCCTCTTTGATGGTCTTAATAACATGTTGGAAAAAATTTAGGGCTCGTGCAAGATCCCTCCAATGGACCCCGACGTCTTCAGGTATGTGATAGTCATGTATTTCGCGCTCAGTAATCTGCTCACTTGGATCTAGGCCCATTTTTTTGGAGTGGTCTGTGATGGCAAGAAATTGAGCTCATAGCAGTTAATATTACATTTTCACATGACGTCTATAGCCTGTGTACAATCCATCCCTTCCCTTAAAAATTCCGATTTTTTTTTGAGGGGAGGGGGTGGCTGTACCCAATCTGTATGCACAGGTTGTAAAAACACCAGTTCATTGTCAACTACAATTATAGTTACAGGACTACACTCGTTTTCCCAAGGTAACGAAACTATCAACTTATTATATAAGGACTCTTAAGTTTTAACCATTTACAAAGTTTTCGTACGTAACTACCGTGAAAAAAACTTCTGAGATGTCGGTTCAGTCACAGCCTTGTTTGCAGCCATCTCGTTCCCTGAGGCCGCAATCGTCTTGGTTATTTAAAAGGATCGAGGCCTCCGGGAACGAGATTAGGGAGCTTAATCAACCACGACCACGACGACAACGTCAAAAAATAATTGGTTTTATTTTCAAACCAACAGCTCTGCACGAGCATTACGCTTTTTAGTACATTTCTTTGACGTCCACTGCACGACTTGAACGTGAAACCACGTAATACGACGCCGTTTTATAGAGGACGTGAACATCGGGCAACGAATTTTCGTTTCTTTTTTTGAACCTGGATTTACAATATTAGCTTTAAGCTAGCCCCACATGAAGATTAGTTTTGTGTAAGCGAAATATTGGGCAAATAGATTACCCATACCATCCATAGCTGTCCGATCAACCTTGCCTTCAATTTTAAGTGTTATACGGTCTTATACGTCTGTATTGCTGATCCTTATCTACACTTTCCCTCGCTGCTGTTTGTACAAATGATTCTTTCAAGAATTGTTCGCTTAAGAATTCAACTCCAGGAAAAATCTCCTACATTTGACAAATTGAACGGACCCTACTAGGGGCGATAAAGTTTGAAAGGACGCAAATTCGTTTTTTGACGACGTTTTCACTACCCTCGTCGTCGTTGCTTAAGCTCCATCGTTTTTTTTTCAGTATGATCAAGTCACGTGCCTTATAACCTATTGTCATAGGTTGTGAAGCCAAAAACACAGAAATTTTTGTCGTCGCCAGTGAGTGGGAAAGTTTACAATGATTTGTTTAATATTTTTTTCTAGACAACTGCTACACCACCAGAATAATTTACAAAGTTTTGTTGCCCTGTAAGAAACCTTAGGAGCCTATCAGTACCTGCACCCACGGCGTCCTCGATTTGCGAAATTCTTTCAAGTGAAACTCAGCATCATTCAATGATTTTTAAAAAATTATTGAACAATTTTCCCCTCATAAACAGTGTTTGTGAACAATATGCAAGTTTTCGTAAGTGTTCAGGTATTATTTATGCTACTAATGGCCACTTCCCGAAGGTGGCCACCCTCAGAAGCTTTGACCGGTACAATTACCGACGCCTCGTAAGATGACGTATTGTAGCGGCGATAATGATTATCACTGGAGCAGAGAATTCATTCATGTAAAGAAATTTCCTTATTTGTGCAATTTAAGCTATTTTTGTCTCATGGTAAAATTGACCTAATAACGTGAGGTTATCTTCCATCCGCGGGTCCTACGTTTGTCTTAAATCTGTGGCTCTCCAAGCCTAAACTTTATTTCTTGTAGGTAGTTGGTTAGACTGAGTATCGGTGAGTAACATTCTTAAGTGTGACATAATACTTAAATACCCGGGTATAAGTACAGCCAATTACATCCAACTCTAAGCTTTGAAGTGGTTTTCTAACTGTGGAATTGCGCTGAACAGTGACGATGAGGAATCATAAATGAATAAAAGAGGTAAATCATAAAAATATGTGTATTCTTATATTTCGATAAAGTACGTGAAAGTGTTTACTTACCTACATGCATACCCGGAAATAAGGAATTGACACATCGACCGGCAATAATACAGTTACAAAACAATCAACAGAAAAACTTATAGTACTTACCCCTATCCTAGAGTTCGAATTGCAGTGACTTTGTGTAGTTTGCTAAGTAAGGTTCAGTGAGGAATCCTCTAAGTGACTGAAACAACAGACATGTAGCTTCCATATGACAGCAGCCAAACGCGGTCGAAAAATTAAGTTCACTTCCCAGCGTCAGGGCTCTTCTATATTAACAGTTACTATTCCTCTTGACAACTTAGACGAAATACGCAGTATTTGAGGGTGTACGTGGGAAAATGCCAGTGACTTTCAAGCTACACATAAGACAAGAAGCTATAAAAACTCACTGCCAATTCGGTATTTCCTTATGAAGGCTGGTGACCTTTCAAGTATGGAAGGGGTTTTCCCCGAAATCATACCCATATTAGTAACCGGATGTTGTCACTGAATATATTATGCTATTCGCTTTATTTGAACGCCGGGATTCGGGATCTAAAAGCAAACTAGTGACGGGACTCGAGATTGATAGTACAAGGGATGCAGAAAGCCAAAAATAATCATCGGGATTACAGGATTGAACGAAAATTTGGGTCAGGATGACGGTATTGGAAAACACTACTGGGGGCACTCCATGAAGAGTCTGTGGTAACCTTGACAGCTTTCAGAGCAGTGTTAGCCAGCTTCCATCCCGGGTGGGGCGGATGCTCCCTTATTTGCTCTGATGGGGGACGTGCCGCTGAACACGATACGACTTTCATGGCGTCTCTTGAATCAAAGAAGGTTTTTATTACAATTCCACTACTCAGTATCTTATTCTGCCTTTATTAACCGATCCCAAGATATTTGGCTTACAGTTGTTCCTTATCATGTGTTAATACTTAATCACAAAGTATTGCTTCGAGCCCCCAGGCGAGCAGCATACAAATCCTTGGTTTCCCTGTGGTTGGCTTGGATTTCCTGTCGCTATTAAGGCGTTACAATCTGCATTATGTTTTTCAGGATGATTTTTATCAAGTATGTCCAGCGGTGTCATCATTATAACATTTCAAATATATAAGCAACACCTCTTATTAAGTCATTCTAATTGCGCTTCGTTTCGCACAATGTGGTGTACACAAACAGTTTCAAATTATTTCTCGTATGACTCTAAATTAGCCACTAAAGACCTAAATCTCTCCAAGAACTCGCAATTGAAGGAGTCCCAAGTTGTGGTTCTTTATCCCATAACTGACCCAATAAAAGGGTCTGTAGTAAGCAACTGAAAATGCGTATGCCAGGATGATGATTTACTGGTCAGCATCTACTCGTAGCAGTTTACATGTACTGCCCACCTACCCCTACTAAAACCCAAAATTTGCCCTAAGTGAGAAGTAAGTGTTAATGTTGACTTAGGGGAGGGGTAGGCAGGCAGTTTCCCAGGAAACCTAAATTGATCCCATGTACTTACAATTTGTAACCTCTTGTCAAAAAACGATGGTACATCGATTGATGAACTTTAAAACAGTAAATATACACGTCGAAAGGTAAATATGGGGGAGAAAACGTTAGGCGGGGGAGGGGAGGGGGGGGGGGGTCAATGATCACTTCGGTGTAATAATATTTAAACGGAGAATCGGCCATGTTTCACCGTGTTTACTCCAAAATCGTCCGACTCCTCTACCCCCCTTCTCCGGTGATAAATAATGACTGGCCCTTATCGCCTGTATTGCCTTGCCGCGCGTCCTCAAGAGAACTTGAAACCAGCTTGGTCATTTCGCATTGTAGTTGTTCAGGGATGTCAAAAAAATTGAGAGAAAAGCGCCTGCAGAATTGTTGTTTTGCTCATTACTTTCTTAACTCTCCCGTTGCCGTCGTAGTTTCGTAAGTTCCCTGGCGTTTGAACATTTCTACGGCGCGTTATTTATCTCTGCTCTGCTAACTCATCTATATCTTATAACAACAATGGAAGCAAGGTTCCCTTATAAAAACAGAAAGGTCCTTGTGCTCATTAATTAAATGAATTAGGCTATGTTCACATTATACAGGATAGCTCTTTCGCCGACCACGATAGGAATTCTAATCACAAATAACAACGGCGATTTCCGCGCGATTTCTTTAACGGAGCTAAGCTGCGCTGCGCCGATCTTGAAAGTGACTAGAACCCATCGATCGACACTTGAGACGGAAGTAACTATCAGATACGATGTTCGATGTTTGTGAACCACGTGTTCCAGTTCTGAGCTGTTGCGCGTTTATACTGTACCGAATAGTTTTTCATGTTGGCACGAAAAGTTATATTATCTGGTCTAGCTAGTGTAGACATAAAATAACCAATGACTGATTGACCATGATCGCCGGACTCATAACATAACATAACAATTGACTCCTTTAGAGGGTCTATTAGGGGGTCGACCATTCCGCAAACCACCTTATTTTGTTCTTTGCAGACCGCAAACCGCTTTCGTTTTCTTCTTAAGACCGAAACCGCCTTTATGGTATAAATTGACTACAAATGATATTATGTTTTTTTTATGGTATATATCACAATAACCGATCTTTTATTTAACAATAAGTTGCATATTCCTTACTATATGTAAAACGACAATCTTCTTTCTCCTCACAAGATCTTAACAACAGAACATTATGTTTCTAATTTAATCCCTTTCAATAAAATGCGAGCTCAAAGTTTAGACACCTAATATGCAGTTTACAAATACAAAGAAGCTCCTTTACGCTTACTCTTAATTCTCCTTCTACAGAAGTCACTATTGTGAACGTAAGTTGGTACAAAACTAGAAAACCCCGTAAAATTTATTAATAAATTTTCATAATACAGGCGTCACACCATAACGCCCCTTTTAAAATATACTTATTTACAGTGTTTACGCTATAGTCAAGGGCCGGGTTGTTCAAGCAGGGTTAAGATAACCCAGGATTAGAGAGAAATTTCGATTCAGATATGAAAGCTTGAAAGCTAATTCAGTTTTTTTCTTTTTGTCTACCATTTGATGATTAGATACTCTAAAAAGAATCGAGAAAATTATCCAGGAAAATTCTTTTGAACAAAAGAAAAAAAACTCAGGTTAAAATTCAACCCTGGGTTAGCGCTAATCAGCCTTCGAAGAACTGGGCCAAGTAGTTTAAGGCCTTGACGGACTAAGGGGTTTACCTGTGGGAAATGAATTATTGACTATAACTTGGGCATAAATGATGGCGCCGAATTAAAATTTGGCACACATAAAGAACTAATTGTCCTTAAAATTTTAAAGTATAAATATTGTGAATAAGTCACGCGATATGTCACGTGACCATTTTGCTAAAAATGATAAATTATTGACCAATTGGTGGCCGATTTAAGAAAAGAAATCGAACAATAACATTATTCTAATGCATATTAAATATACTTCACGTTTGGACTATCCGTCCATTTCTCTTCAATAAAAAATTATGAGGGAAAACGTCATTTTAAATGCCCAAATTTAATCTTGAATTATTTAAAACTTCAATGTTAAACTTCGCGTACATTCATTCCAAACGTAGAAAGTTAGGCATGTTTATTCTCTTTCAGAAATGCCAATTGTGTTTATCCTAACAAAGTAAATTCGCCAATTTCCTTCATTTTCAATTTTTGGTCACAGGACATGTCACGTGACCATAATTACACATTAAGGCACAAGAAAACCTCAAGATTTACTTGTGGGGAGAAATTCATTTTGTTCTAGCGAGAGATATTGCCAATCATACATATGCTCCGAACATACCTTTGACCCAGGCCTTAACCCCCTTGAGTAAGAACATAATGTACACGCACAGCCGTTGCACGCAACATCCAGCAGGCTTGACACATCAAGATTGCGTGCAGTTCCCACAAACGCTCTTAGGCTAGTCACACTGCGTATGTCTTGGCTAATTTTGCCCTAACATAAAGGCCTAAATATCTGATATTATCCTTACAGTTTTAACTGTGCCATATCGTGGAATAAGAAAATCGCTTCGCAATGTTTAATTAAACATCCCGCATCAGAGTGTAGGGGACACTAGAACTCTGTTGTTCACCACCCTCCTTCTTTCTGGACTGAATGGAGAGAATGACGGTTCCGACTGAGGATCTCTTTTTACGCGGCATTAGCTGCAAAGTAAAAATAGATTTAATTTTACTAAAAGTACGTGTTTAGTTCATTCTTATGTATGTCGTTCAAGGAAAAATAATGATTCATTGTATAGTAGCCTGGAACTCGGCTCCGCAGAGGGGAAAAAAGCCAAAAAAAGTGATGAGTGAAGGGAGCGAAAGGCTAGTTTCACCCAATTTTTTCTTCCCCCAAGGGGAGTCTGGTACCAGGCTAACAGACCCAATTCACGAAACCGCCATCCTTGCGCGTTCTCAAGGATAAAAGCAAGGTCACGTGGTTTCTCAAGGGGCAAACAAGAGATAAAGCTGCAAAAAGAAATCACTGAAGCGCACGTACCACGGAGTGGGTACGTATACGCGTGCTTCAGTGCTTTCTCTGCGTTGATGTAGCTGCCAATGCAAGAAATCGTTGTTAAATTTAACCTTTTTATTCTAGACAGCAGTGAGAAGAAGAACCTTTCACTACTTTAAGATAATACTATGCAAATTATGAGTGTAAGTGATCTTTGTTTCTTTTCTGGAAGCAGTAGCGATCATAGTTGTCCTCGCACCAAGCACTACTGGTCAACGTAAAACTTTTCGAAACTCGAATTTTACATTTAACAAGACTAAAATCGTCATCTCTTTTGGCAGAGAATAAACAAATTCGACGTGCGATTACTAGTATTGGCAAATTGTATCACTTGTTTGCCCCTGAAATAACACGTGACATTGGCTTTATGCCATCAATCCTGAAGTGCGTAAAAAGATTGCGGGTATTGTGAACAAGGTCTACTGAAAGGTAAATGAGAAGCAGACACCCAACCTGATTCTGATTGGCCGGAACGTAAGTCGCTCGATCCGATTGTGTCAAATAACCCTTTCAACTTAGTTTAAGCCTTCAGTCCCATTTTTAGACTAGCCTTGACGCAAGTTTTGCTTCGACAAGTTCTCCTTGGAAAAAAATTAGAAGGAGAAAAGTGGTTTGTCAACTTTCGCAAGCTAGGAGGAATTTTGAAGAGAAATGAAAATCGCAAGTACTTACCCGCGAGTCTTCTTCTTGTTTTTCATCGTTGCTTGCTAAAGGCGCTTCAGCTTCAAAATCGGTTTCCTCGCGCAGTTTAAGCTTCCTAACTAAGTTACTCGGATCCGTAAGTCGCAGGACCTTTAAAAGAAAAAAAATGCAAAACTTTGCCTCCTCTCTTATCTCTGACTATATAACGACAATAGCAGAGCTCTCGCGCGAAGCGCGCGCAGCGGAGCATTATCGGTAAGAAAATTTGGTTATCTATGCACCCAAGAAATTTTGGTTCTGACAAAATCATTCGTACGCGTACGCCCACGTCGGTACGTACGTTTACCCCTTCATGTTAGCGGATGTGAAATGGTCCACTTTTTATTATCACTTATTTTCGCGCGACTTTAATTTGGCGAATTTGGAAAAGGTGCCGCGAAAATTAAGGACGCGAAATTTAGTGACCTATATAAAAACCTAAGTTTTTTTTTAAGTTTTCCGTCTGCTAGGAGTACTTAGCTAAAACTGTAGGGCCCAAAACATCACCAATATGTTACACCTTGCAAAATATTTCTTTCTCCGCCTGATTCTTACACGTATAACCACGAGGTTTGCAGTTCATATACGCAAATCCGTGGGTGTTTTGTGTTCAATGTAAAATTCATTTCGTTTTAGGTATATTTATAGGTACTCTTAGTTGTATTGTAAAACTCCCTGATGAAGTGTGCTCCAAACACACGAAACTCTTAGGAAACAACAAAAGAACTTTACAGATCAAGACGCTCCATGAAGGGCTGCTCACTGGTTTATCCGGCCCTTTTAGAAATATTCTTTACAACCTTTTAGCAGGTAGTGAGGGAAAGTGGGACATTGCGAAAGGATGAAGCAAAGCGGGAATATCCGAACTTGTACAAAGGAAGACAACCTTATCGCCTGAAGATCTATTTGAAAACATAGAGGCGATCCTTATCTAAAAGCTAATTTGCAGTGACATCGAGTTAAATAGTGCCTCGGTTGCTTATGTCAGAGTACTTTTAAAAGATGTTATGTTGCTGACATTGTTGAACATTTCAGCCAGTTGCTCGATGCGTTTCTATTCCGTTATGGTTAGATAAAATGCAGAAATGTAAATCCAATAAGCTAGCACCAGTGAACTTGAATAGCAAAATTTAATTACCTTGAAAAACGGTGATTCGCCAAAATCGCGAATATAAAGTCGCGCGAAAAAAAGGGTTAATAAGGTATTGCATCTTCAAATTATTCACGAGGAAACTGAGTTATGCCTTTCACATGTGGGATTATCAGCGTTTGATCATGGTGTATCCTGGACTTATCTGTGTAAGATAATCTGCATTTACCTTTTTACCGCCTTTTGACTTGTTACTAGTAGGATCTGATCCTGCTTTTTTAGGAAGACGATCGACCTGCAATTGAAACAAAAGCCAGTGATCCTGAACTGACGAGACGCTTTTATTTGCATTGCTGAACATCAGGTTAAAATAAAGAATTTGACCGGGCCCTTCTATCTTCTTAGATCCCGGTATCTTACCGAAGAAGATCGAAGGGCTTCTGTTCGCAGGGTGTTGCGACTGCAAACTGATACGATAGAAGCGTTTCATACTTTAGGACCACACTGCGAAATGATATGCCATTGCTTATTTTGCCTATTATGCTTGGGAAAGTCGAGAAACTGAGAAAAGAAGTTCTTCTCTGTTCACATACCGGAGAGAAAAGACGTCTCCACACTTTATCCAATGCCTCGACCTGTCTTTGTCTGTCTTTCTGATATGATTGCAGTCTGTGATATTCCTTCTTCTCCTCTTCAGACATCTCCTTTTGTGCAGATTCCAAATCTTCAACTCTGTGGACCAGGTCAAAGTGTTCCGCCCTAAGGCCGTGATAGGCCAGGTCATAATAGTCCCTCCTCAAGTCTTCTCTACATCTACCAGCTTCCGAAATAATGCCCTGTGTCTCGGTGTATAACTCTTGCAGGTTCTCGCTAAGCCTGATCAAAAGGTCAAGTCTGACTGCTAATCGTAGTTGATCTTGTTTTACTACCGGCGCTTGCAAAGGAGATGTAACGTATGTGTTAAGCTGCTCTTTGATATTTTTTAATTGAACGCCAATGCGATATTCTCTATCTGCTTGGTCTGAATCCGAAGAGAAATCACCGTCCTTAAATATTAATCAAAGAGTACATGCAAAAGACTTTGTTTAGAATGAAATAATTAAAATAAATGTTAACAGCACAATTCCAATCTTCGTCGAGCCATACGCGATACGCGTCATACTTATACCCTTTAACGACCGCTTTGGTCGTTTTCGTTCCATATGGAACAGTACAGACATATTTTCCTCCCTGGAGCCATTTAGCTTTCAGTTTAAGCTATTAATTTGGTAAGCAGCAACGTCAGCAAAGATAGATCTTTCCACCGATACCTCGTTTTGGAAATTCTGACCAATCCTGACAGAGTAAAAGTAGAAGTACCAAGTAACATTTTGGGGAAAAATCCACTGCCAATTTTGCCGTTCACCTACTGCTCTTAGCAGATTAAATTTGTCCCTATTCTAGGTGACCGCAAGTTTCCATTTAACTTTTGGTAAAAGAAAGACGATAAAGTGGGAAAAAAAACTGGATAAAGGGAAAAAGGAAAAACGAGAGCGAGAAAGAAAGATCGATCGAAAAAAAATTCGCAAAATGAAGTCCAGATTTTGGCTCATGGGCATGTGTATCAAAAACGCTGCTTAATTACATCCGATAAGTCGGAAAATATGCTTTTATTGTTGCAAAACTCATTTTTAGCCATTCCCGTGCTAATTAACCGAAAACTACTCCAAAAAAGAAGAAAGGTGAAAAATGCAGTTTTTTCGCCACTCGTTGGCAGTCTCCACAGGCCGGTTAAGTTATATTCAGAACGTAACTTACTTCAGTTCGACAAGGAAAAGATAATTACGCTACGATTATTGTTTAGTGTCAAGAGAATGGGATTTCACCTTCTTTTAAAAACGTGAGGCATATGCCAAGCAACAACCAGGGTAGATTTTGGACCATGACGAAGTTAACAAAAGAGAGTAGGACCTTGGGTACCATGGTGGCAAAAAAGATATTGTTTCGATATTGTTGGCTTTTTACACTTCATAAAATATAAGTAAACAAGTGACTGCAGGTCTTGCCTCACACCCTGACAATCGTATTTGCCGAAATTTCAAGAGAAGCCTATTTTGACATTAACTCCTCTTGCCGCTTTCACACGGGCTGGTGCACCTAATCAACAGAACGATCTCGCAGGGGCTTACATTGCTTCAGTTTTTCTTATCTTCTTTGCGATTGGATTTTTGTCCCGCTTTTTTGTTCTTGATGACAATAAATGAGGAGCAAAACCAGATGAGGCTAAATTATTTCTAAATTTTTCAAAAAGCTAGTAGTAAAGCGGTTGTTGACTCACCCCTTGGCTGGTATCGTCTAAGTTAGGCTTGGCAAGGGAAAGTTCCCTTTTTAAATCATCAATTATCTTGCTCAATCTTAAAATCTACAAATTGCAAAACCAAGAAAAATAAACGTCAATGAATTCTGAATTCCTTAGAGTTCCTCAGTAATTCTATAACAACCCCGCAAAAAACACTATGTCCATAATGGCCTGGCTAATCTTTTCTTTACCGCGTGATGACTTGATCATGAAATAGCCTCTGTGGTGCTGCAGGTTTATACACTCAAAGTAAAAACGTTTCGCTGTGGACGTGTGGATCCAGTGTCGTTACCCAATTTTCCAGTTTTCCGTTATACTAAAAATTGTGTTTTGTTGCTTGAAAGGGGATGAGTCAAGTACCTTGTTAAGTGCCAAGTGCAATGGCTAAAGACAGCTTAGAATACTTAACAGAGCCAAAGAGCAATGACTCTGTCGAGTAACGCCTTAGGGAGGGTTCACAAGTACACCAAAAACGCCCAGGAATGGAACCTGGGCCCCTTGAAATATTCCCCCCCCCCCTCAAGGGGGCAGCAAAGCAGTCGGGTGAGCAAGGACTACTGCAAGGTAAGGAGTCCCACAAGGCGTAGAAAAGACCGTTGGAGGACCCTTACCTCTTTTATGAGAGTCAAAACAGCCAGGAAATTATTTTTTACATATCTAGTAATAATGGCAAACATTGTTGACTCACCTCCTCTTCCTTCTCTCGGTAGTTTTCCGTAGCACTTGAAAGCTGTTTTTCTGATTCTTCAGATTTGGCGCCCATTCCCAAAACCTACTCGACCATGAGCAACAAAAAAATGATGGCTGTTTTACTACAAGATGCCTTTAGTTTAACTCTCAGCTCAGTAAATGCTCACTGCGATGCTTACCTTGCCAGCCTCCTGTTTGTGTTCACATTCCTGTCTAGCGCGCAATTTCTGGTTCTGTTTATAGAAAAACGAATCACTAAAAAGCAAAAATGGAATCCTTCGGCCAATAATAAGCTTTTGAAGTATAGGACAAACTTAAAAGCAAGTGTCACAATTACATCAAACCACGACCTGGCATACTTAGACGTTTAGTAAGACGATTTCGACCGTTTTGTGTCTCCACATCGATAAATGTTAGTAGCTGTTTTTCTGAGCAAAGGTATAAGTGTTCCCATCTACAACACACGGCCTTGACATGGCGAATATATTGTTATCTTGCATGTCTTCACCAATATTTTATTAATTCATTCAGCTTTATTCAAATCTCTTTTCTTTGCCCTTTTCCTTTGGAAAACAGGTATAGTTTAGTATAATTTTGCGTAGTATTATTAAGAGACTCTTTAGATATGTATTTATTATTATTAAATATTGTTATGTAGTTATACTTTATATGTAACAAAAAACCTGATGAATTTTTACCGTGTTAAAATAAAGATTTGAGATTTGAGATTTTGCCCTCTAATTTAGGCCCATTTAGCTTTTCGCTGGGCGAAGTCGGCTCAAAATTGAACCCTGCGCACTGAGGTTCGTGTCTTCACAACCGAAGGCAAGTTGCCCTTGCATCAAAAAAACGCCACAGAAAACAGTCATTTGTGTGAGAGAGGAATTTTGATTTTTGGATATATCCTATCCCACCATTCCCTTGAGCTAAAAATAAATAAATAAATAAAAATTAAACAAAGAAAGAAAAAGGGACGGCTGACAGTTTTTGTGAATTATGATACGCTCCTACAGAACTGGCATACCTCTTCCTCTAGTTCTTTATTCCTGGCTTTCAGCCTGGAACCCTGTTTTGTCAAAACAAAAAGAAATTTATTTTTCTTCTTTCTTTCTGTTTTCTTGTAAGAAAATTTAAAGAGTTAATTAAGGACGCTAGATCTGTTTTTCACTCTATTCAGTCCTGATTATACTTAATTAACTTTTAATACCTCTGCTTCCAAGTTGACCAGCTGATTTTTCATTTCTCGAATCGTCTTCTCAAACTCGTTGTTCTAGAATATCGAGAAAACAGGTATATATCAAACTGAACCGAAAATAAAACATATTTGGAGCCCGCAACAAAATTGGAGACAGCGGTACATAATTAGCTTAGTAGAAGTTTGATATTAGGGCTAAGGATTACGTGTGCTGGGATGATCCGGTTTGTCGGTTTGCCGAGACGGCTTAATTTTTTTTTATATCCCGATATTTTTGGCATGAAGCGTAGTATATCGCCAGCTGTCTAGTTGCTTCGAGTTGCTTGTTTGGTTTCCTCAAAACTTTTACTTCTCAATTGACACCCCATTCACGTTATCTAAACATATTTCATTAAACCCGGTTAAAAAAAAAAAATTTAAATCAGACGCGGAAAACTGGGACACAGGTGTTACACATATTCAAATTACTAAACAACTTTTAAGGATGTTTTAGCTTTGGTGGGGCTCTTCGTATGTAAACAAATAAATTAATCAAAAATGAAATAAAATAACGATTTAGAAGAGCTTTTAGAGATAACAAATCCACATAGTGGTTCTACGTCTACTAGTTTTGCAAATGCGCTGAGTATGCAAATTTTCAAGAAGTTTACATTTTTATGCCGTGGCACGTTCAATGAGGGGGATTTACATGAAGCACTACCAAAAACTGCTCTTAAAAGGCCATTGTTGTATTTTCAATAACTGTGGCTTGTTCGACTCTCCGTGAAAGTAACTTTTGCTTATTATATACTCACTTGGCTCGGATAGCTTGGACAGACTAAAATGTCAGCCAGGTTTTTAAGTTCCGCGCTCCTTAAAGCGTCTGCTAGTCTTACAGCAGTAGCATCATTTCCTTCTCGCTTTATCCAAAGCACCAAAAGTTCTATGCAGCATTCCTTAGTATGAGAACCTTTTTCTGTTTCAACTGCTTCAATAGTTGGTTGATAGTAGCCTAATGCTCGTGCAAGGTCTTTCCATTTAACACCTATGTTGTCAGGAAGCTTATAATCGTGTATGTCAGGTTCAATTATCTTATGACTCGGACTTAGGCCCAGTGGAGGGAGACTGGCTGTAAAAGAAAAACAAGAAATGGGACTGTTAGCTGTTATCTAATTCTTTTATGCGAAGGTAGAAAATCTAGCTGGATTTTTGAAAACGTAACTGCCAAAATATGCCTCTTCCGCCAAGCAGTTTTTTCTTTCAAAGAGTGGCAATAAAAAACCAAGACAACAAGAGTGCAACCGAACCTACCCGGGACGCAAAAAACATATCCCTTGGCCCCTTTTTTCACTAAATTGCCGCAAATTCGCGCGTGCCCGTTCTCTCTTTCGCCCACTTCTTCCAAGCGCCTGCTACGCAGGCCATTGGCGTGGAAGACTAGAATGGGCTCTTTAACGACCAAGCGCTTGCCAAGAGCCCATGTGGGCTCCTGGCTTCTCTTGTAAATAATTAAAAGTAGAGACAACTTAGAGACGACTGGGGACGAGTCAGAAATCGTGGCTTGAATGCGGCTCTAGCCTGTTAAATCCTCGGATGTGACCGGGAATTTTACGCGACGGCCATGCAAGCAAATGCTATCTATCCAGTCCAAGGAACCGTTTTACTCGGCCGCTTGAGGCTAAGTTTGTGAATAATTGTCAGAAAATATAGTTAACATTATCCACGCTGACTGTTCACTACTTAAATGTCTTAATCAGTATGTACATTTATATTAACTTTATTGTTTATGTCAACTTGGGATTTTATACATACCGTTACTATTTCTATTAGAATTGGCCCCGTCATGTTTAGGTATATTAAGCGGAAATACATAAATCAGATACTGGACAGAAGAACTGAAGACTTTCACTAACAAATGATCATAAGCAATAAAGATATCTACAGCGTGCTCAGAATTCCGAATACATCTTGGAAATAACTGTAACAATTGCAATGCAATAATCCATGGATCAGTTCCTTTTTTTTTGAAACAGGAAGTCAGAGTACAACATCAATCCGTGTGTGTGAATACTGTGCGTGAGAATGATTTCGTTGGAATTAACCTCTTAAATTTACGAAGGCTTTCCAATCTGGTTAATACCGTTTCCTTCAGTGAAAAGACCAATTTTAACAAATTAAACTCGGTGGCATGCATTACAAGTAACCGTGCAAACTATCATTCTGCAAACACAGATATTCTGCATTTTGCATTTAAATCTTTTGTATGGCAAAAAGATTCCCTTAAAAGGTAATACTGACCAATACTGGAGCCTCAGGTTGTCCAATTTGCTAAAATATATTGGGAAAAAAAAACATTTTAAAGCAATTTCATGGACTATTTCCTGCAGCCTAATGTCACTTTAAGGCTCTGACAATGGGCACCCGGAAATATTTTCGTGAAGAAAACTGTCGTTTATACAACGCGAACGCGGATCAGTAACGCGAGAACGATGCTTTGCAAGATAACAAAAAGAAATCAGATCATCAAAAGAACATACATAAACTACTTACCCATGTCTGATGAATGACGCTCTGTTAGCTGAGGGCTTTTTCCGTTGTTTTGACTTGATGATGTTAGAATCTTGCCGGAAGATCAAAGATAAGGACTTTTCGGTACAAAACCCAGTTAGAAAACACTTCAAGTCGGCTAGCCAACACTGCTGAAAGCCAAGTATACCGAATCAGATATAAACGGCATTAAGGGTAAATTTCGTGCGCATGCAAGGTACAAATATGAAACGGATAATTTGAAGAAAGGACAAAATTAAAGGCAGTTGTCCGAACCTTGCACGAATTTGCATTATATAGCTGCCGTATCACTTCTAGCTCTGTAACTCTTTGCAACGATTAGTCTTGTAAGGACACGACCATAGAGCAATAAAGTTTGAAGAACGCCCTATAAATCTATTAAGTACACTGGAAGTGTTTGGCAAACATGCGATCTGATTTCCTCATTGCAAGAAGAGGTCAAGTGTTACGCGGGCAGCGGGGGCGTTACGTAAGAGCATTCTTTAAAACTATTTTCAGTTTGTCGGTCACGTCTCGTTTTGACTACGCTTTGTGGCAAGTCTCTGTGTCAAGTCTGTCAAGCATGTGAACTGAATTAAAAAAGTATGCGCAATAAAAACTGGTCCGACCCGAGCTGCCGAGCAAGTGTGTCAGGGGACTTAACTACAGACGAAGTTTGATTTGAATTATTTGTTTCAGATATTAGTTCGGCCTCACTAGCATTAGTGCTATAAATCCTGCCGAGGGTAAACAAAGGACATTATTATTATTATTATTATTATTATTATTATTATTATTATTATTATTATTATTATTATTATTATTATTATCAGCATTATCATTATCACTATTATTATTGCTGACTGGGATATAATTGATGTTGTTATCCCTCTCATGAGGTGGGCTGAATTCCAGATTTTTATTCACCTTGAACATTGTCTCTCTGCACCTCTTGTTAACTGCATTAATGGCCGTCAAAATCAGTATTATTCAGTAACTAAAATACTTTATACGACATCCAAAGCTCTCTTCGATGACTTACGAGTAGTTTGACTGGTCCTGCCTCGATATTTTTCAAAAAAACATGTGGACCCTAAAGTCAATTTCTGGAATTTGGAAACAAATCAACCGGTTCTTGAAACAGTTGCGGAAATTATACATAAACTGGGATTTGCATTATGCTCTTCTACTTTATTTTGATCTTTTCTGTGGCAGTCTGGTTTTTTCATTCCTAGTAGCTCTATAACTCTTAACTATACAAGAACTGTAATTTTTTTCGTTCGATGCAATTTCCATGGAACGGGAAATTTCTAACACCGCGATACTGTGGAATGATATTAAATAACACCTAACCAGATCATAGCCAACGTCAACCGGAAATGTTGGAAAGAAATGTTCGCTGAAGCAATATAAAATTATTCCAGCTCTACCAAAGAAGTATTAAACAAAGGCCCAATCAAGAACTTAACTATATTTGAAGGTCTGACTTAAGTGTCTTGCTTGAAGACTCTGTTTCCTTGTTATTGATTAATTGAAGTTAGAGGTTGGCAGCTGATCAAAGATCGATGTAGTAAATTGCGTTAACTGTGGATGGTTATGTCAGAAGAGCACTTATTTCCCTAAGAAAAGCTGCAGCCAAAGTTTTTTTTTATGACCTTATTTGTAAGCAGCCCATCAGAGCTGTTTCAGCCATTAGTATGTCTGCAGAATTTGAACAGTCCAAAGGGAATATCTACCGGCGGAAGAAAAAATGGTCATGTCGTTACCTTGAATGTAAAAGATTTTTCTTGTCCCAAGTCTGATAAGTTTTGCAAAGCAATATAACGATGATTGACCGATCCTTCAATTTCTTCTCAGTAAAAGTGGGAAAGGACCTCACATCCAATACATCCCGAAGAGACCTGTTCAAATCGCTTCGCTATGCACAAGTATTGGTTTCCTTATTGAGAGCAGTGTTTTCACCCTTGTAACAGTCAGTCACGTCATGACTCAATGACCATCTTGACAAAGGGAGCTTGAGCAGAGCGCGCCCGCTCTAGCTAGCTACGGAAGGCAAAACTTGGTTTTGTTATGTCATCCTTCATACACAAGGGTTACACTTGGATGTCAAGTAAATGACCCAATTATACACTAGAAGTTACAGGATTCATTTTGTGGTTTAGAGTCTTTAGACGCAGGTCTGTGAATCCGAAGTAAAAACGACATGATTTTGTCAGGTTTCAGAGGATTTTGAATCCGAAATCTGAGCTGAATACTTTACTTTAAAATGTAAAAACGAAACTTACTAGTCCCGTAAGTCACTACTAAGTTTAGTTTGTACCCTGCCACGTTATGCCCACCTGTGGCATGTAAGGTCAGTGGCCAGATCAGAAATTTTCAAGTAATAACAGTTCCCAGCATTTATCCAGAGCCTTCAATGGCTTATAAATAAACTCTTCTACTTCAAAATACTATTTTTGGTATCATGAGAACATCATGTTGAGGACTTAATCGCGAGAAATCAGAGAAATCCAACGATGAGAAACCGCGAAAAATGCTTTAATGTACAAGAATGTGATCATTTGATAATCATTTGATACTGATCATTGTTGGCCGGTCACTGGCAGAGGGTGTGTTTGTTACGCCCTATCGTGTTACCCGTTTCAGAACGTCTCAAGCCCGTTTCAGATGACGATCTTTTCACGAGTCGAGTGAATAATTTGGACCGATCCAAATCAAATCGTGAACAACCACAGCATGAAAAAAGAGATTTACGGAAAATTAAAGTTACGTAAATCTGCGTAAAGGAGGTTAACAAACTTTACACTAGCTTTACATTGATCGTAAAGGCGTGTAAAGGTAGATTTACTTAACCGGAGATAAAGCATGTGTAAAGGTTGCGTAAAGTTGCAGGGCCAGATTTACGCAACTTTACGCGACAGGAAAAGATTGCGTAAAGCTAAGCTTTACTAAACCAATAGTAAAGCTGCTTAAAGCTGTCGTGAAGGTGTTTACTGATTTACACGGCCGGACGAAAAAAAACGTTATGTGCGACATAGAATTTTTAAGTATATTTGTATTTTACCTGACAGGGCGATTAATGAGTCATTAATGAATTGAGTCAACTTGATCAGTACCATGATGTGCCTTTTATTACTCACTTTTCACAAACTGTGGAAATTAAGTCACAAGTCCCTTCAATAAACAAATTCTAATCTCTATAAGGCCAACGCACAAAATAGAAAAAGATAACTGTTTACTTTTGTAGAATAAACTATAAACGGTTTAGAACTTAAATGACATACAGTTCTTCCATAATTTTGAGAGAACAGACCTTTTCGCTCATAATTATTAACACTATCATGAAACTAATAAGGTGGCCTAAACACCCTATTTAAACATAGCTACAAGGCCACAGCACATGTCTTTTTCAGCAACTTAACAACTTCCAATTACTTATCATTGAGTATTTTTGTCACGTGAAAAGGAACCTTCACTTTGAAAAACTCTCAAAGAATTGCCAAGGTAAACAGGGCAATGAGACAGAGGAATGGAGATCAATAAAATTAGACTAGACCCTTTTCCAGCAAGGAGCCAAAATTGTGTCTTCTTTTAATTAATTTGCATTCTTTAGTGCAGACATAATCCAATCAGAAGTTGAGGCAGTTTCCAGTTGGCATTTGATTGGATAAATCGGCACTGAAGAATGTAAATGAACTAAAAGTGGTTGCACTTTTGAAGCTAATTTTTGTAACAGTTTACAGCATCCTATGACATAGACTATAGATTCCGAGACAATGACAACCAGGAGGACAAGATTTGTTTTCAAGTTTTGGTCACATTTACCTAGGGGCTAGATACCCAGGGGACATTTATTATTTTTTCATTTTCCTGCCAAAATGATGCTTCAGTCAAGCATGCAGAATTCTTTAGTATTGAAAAAGCTTGTCTTTGTCTCAGAATCTATTGTGACAATCAAAACATTTTTTTTTAGTTTCAACTTATACATTTCTTAGTGTCAGCAAATGTTAAACGGCTAATGAAATGACCTAGGAATGGGGTTAACTACAAGCTTATCTACCCCATTAAATTTTGCTAAAGAGCAAGCAAATTTTTGTGCTATGCGCTGAACTGGCATAAATAAAGAAGGTCCACAGTGTTCATAGTCACGTCTCCAAACCTCAGCTGGTTTGCCAAAGTGCCCTTTGTCATTGTCAGTTTTGTACCACCAAACAACAGCAAAAACATGCTGACAGAATTGTCCATTAAGCTTAATACTGTGCAAAAGGTACGAATTAACTATTCCAGGTCTTCTTGGTGCAGTAGCTTCAATTGAGCCATTATCAGTAGTCCAGGAGGCCATTATTCGAGCAGATCTCAGTTTGCGGCAGTCCATTTTCGAGCCAAATTTCTCAGTTCCAAGAACAACACTAGTGAACTTGCGTGCGACACATGATGTAAGTTCAATTTCTTCAGTAGGGTATAATGCCTTATAGCATTCCAAAAGTACCTTTACCTCATCTTCATCCAATGCAAAATGCTTAAATGAGCTGGGAAGACTAACAAGTGTTAGATCACTCCACTGAAAGGCTCCCAGACTCAAGCAACAAGCACTGTTAAACAGTTCAGAAGCTGTTTTCACAATAAAGCTCTCAGGTGAACCATTTCCCTCTTGAGCAAAAAATGGCAAAAAGTTTTCCTGAAAGTCACATGGAAATTGAACATCCCAGACGAACCGCCCAGCTAGAAGTTTACGCATTAACTGTACCTCAACAGATCGTCCATTCACTTGCATTGATCCAAAAATTCCATTAAAACGCTCAAAGCTAAAACACCAAAAGGAATGCACTGGACCACAGTCAGTAACACATTCTTTTAAATGGCAGTGGAGATGCATATTTGGTGTCACAGCCTGTTTGCCATACAAACATTCAAATCTCTCTCCAAACTTCACAAATAGCAGATCAGCTTTCAAAATGTCAGTCTTGGACAGAACTGGTGTACAAAGATACTGGCAAGCAAGAACAAATGTCTGCCAGCACCTTAAATGGCTTTCTGGTAACAGGCCTTTTAAACAAAACATGGAGTAAATTAAGGTCCAGTTCTTCCATTGTGATGCTGTGTAGCCACCATAATTGGATGCTATTCTTTGTGGCAATCTTCCGATTCCTGTTCCAACATCAAATGAATTTATACGTTCTTCCAATACTTTAAGATCTTTCTTTGATAATAAGTTTTTCTTAACCCAGAGCTTGAAAACATTCTTTGCAGTGCCTAGAAACAAATTATGCATGGGGTCAATTGCAGTGAACCTCACTGCATCAAAGTATTCAAGCTGTAACAGGCAACTATAATAGACCCCATACTTTGTAGCCAATGACTCATGCTTTGTTTGGGTAGAAGCTTTTCTAACCATCTCTGCGTGTAAGCGATGACTGCTATTATGGCGCGGAGGCCACATGTTTCTATCAAAGCCAGAGTAGTCCGTTTTCTCGCCAAAGCTCCCTGGAAAATACTTAAAACATTTTGAGCAGCCTCGATGTGCTGAATGACCTTTGAAACCGCACAGTTTCCGCACAGCAGGTAGATCGGCTGAAGCAAGAAGGAGGGCACCTCGGTATTTTAGGGGTATTGTACTCTGACTAGTTGAAAGTTTAACGCCTTTCCAAAATGCCTTGAGCTCATCAACAATTGGTGCCAAAAATGTGTTTAATGACTTGGGCTCTTTACTCATTTCAGGTACAATTCCAGCTACTATGACGTTCTCCCATTTGAACCGTTCTTCTCTTGGTAGATTTAGTAGAACTAAATAAATTACACCGATGGATCTGTCACATCTTCTCTTGAACGGCTGAAACCAGTCCACATTGATCGCGAATGCAAGATTTCTAGGGGCATTCAGAAAGTCACTCCCTTTATATGTAAGGAAATCTCTCCAGATGCTACCATCATAAACATCAGCTACAATGTTGTCATCGATTTGACGTTCACGCCACTGCTCACACATTTCAGGAAGTCCTGGTCTTTTAAGTAATGCTTCCACTTGATCAATAATACTGTTGAAACAGTAAAGTTTGTGTGGATAAAAACACACCTTTCCACTGCCCAGGACTACTTTTCTTGCCAATGCTGTTCCACACTCCCTCTTTGAACCCTTTTTAAATGGTTTGTGGGAACAGATGTTTGAAACAATCTGACCTCCAACATGCCTTGTGCAACTCTCCAGCTTATAAAGTGATGCACATTTTGGACAGACTGCAAACTTGACAAAGTTATCCCGCTTTAAGTTCACAAACTGTCGAAGTAAGTACAGCGAACTTGGCAGCATTAGAGCCATTTGACAAAGGTATTCACTGTTACAAGTGATTCCCACTGCATGTAAAAACTGGAACATAAAACGCAACAGCCACTCTAGACCATTGTCACTTAGCTTGCATGTAGCTTGCCAAAATAACAAAAAATAAATCAACCACTGAAGTAATGTAGTCAGTGTCTGTGTCGTTGATCGGTGCTGGATTGGTTCTGGTAGGGGTTCATCATGGCCCACATCTTGAAGAAGATCATCAACATCTTCGTGCCATTCTTCAGTATCTTCTTCGTCACTACAACCACTTTCACTGCAACCACAGTCATTTTCGCTTTCAGAACAATCAGTGTCAGAAGACAAGACCTTTAGAAGTGAAAAAAAAAAAATGTCTATTAACACATCAAGTCCTAACAAGAAGCTAGCTTGAGGGAGCTTTAACTGTAATGTTAATGTATGGTTCAGTTTCAACTGTTTCACCCACCCCCCCCCGGATTGCATAGGTTGGTTCAACTCAAGTGTTGATGTGTAGGTTATTAAGGCTTGTAAACAATTTATGTTCACCACAGTTTAAACAACTGCGGCTTTTAAATTTTAGAGATAATTCTTGTCTTACTAGTCAGTTAGAAATTGTAGAGAATTTTTTCTGAGAAATAGGCAATCTTCTCTACGGTAAACCGAGAAACAGCGTACTTTGCAAGAACAACGAAAAGTTTAATTTTTGATTTTCTCTACCTCGGTACCCCCGGGACAAGACTGCTTCAAACGGTTCCCGGGGTTGCCTGGGGGGATGGTTACAGGTGGAATTGAACCATACATACAATGTAAATTTGAGCCTGATTTGTTTAATACTTGTTGAGTGATCTGGATTTGAAAAGGTAAATTTTCACAAAGAATGTATGGGATTATTAGGGGTTTTGCCACAGTTTTTGGAAGCTAATACCTCCTTAATATCGCACGAAAATAGCTTTCAGAGTCTAGAGTGAGTTTGTCGCGTCGCCTTCTCCAAGCAAAGCTGTATGCTCAATGACGAAAAATGTAAACAATGACGTCAGCACCAATCTGCCTATACTTTAGATGTACCTGACTGGCCGATTCACTTTCTTCTACATGTGTGTCATCATTCATTGCACTTGAGAAATCTGCGTCATCATCAAAGCTGGAGATATCTTTATAATCATCAACCTGGTCGCAACCTGTCAATGTTAAAGGGACACTATCATGGCTGATCATAGAAATCTCTATTTTCTTATTTCCACATTATATTGCCAAATGCCACCAAATATACATTCAAATAAATTAAAAGATCCCAATAAAATTTATCCAGCCTTCATTTTGTTTCAGTTTTTGCTGCAGAAATGTGAAGTTGAAAAGAGTTCAAAGCAATTTCGTGCAGTGTTCAAATGGTTTCATGGAAGGGTTGCCTCCCAAGTGATGATATACATTATTATAACTCCCGGCATAGTAAATCGAACGTTCGAAAATCGAACTCAATCGAACACCAGACTTTCAGTGAGTTCGATTTCTGAACAAATCGAATTCAATCGAACAAATCGAACTAAATCGAACTCAATCCATCTGATTGTGTTTGATTGAGTTAGGTTTAAAATGGATTGTGTTTGATTGGCTCTACCTATACAAAGCAAGTCCAAATCAAGCCCATCAAAGCAGGTTTTTTTAATTTATTCAATAACAGAAACCATTTATAAACTGTGCACGGCAGTTAGAGAACAGAACAGAACAGGAGAGAACAAAGCTCTCATCACTCCTGCAGGCGTATTCCGAAATTATTATACCCTTTCCTATTTAGCTAACTTACAACTGTGGCAAGACAACTCGAAGGATTACTCAAGGGTTGCAATTCGGAATGCGCGGCCTTTCTCGCCTATTTTCTTAAAAACGTCGCCATCCTTGATGTCAAAGCGGCATTCCTGGTAGCCTTTTACTATGTACAGTATTTGAAGGTTACAATCCACAGTGCATTTGAAGCCATGAGGAATTTCTACGTGCGCTACACTCCAGGCTGAAGAAACTTGTGCTTCCAAGATCTGGTTATCAATTTTCAACACCTGCTACACAAATCACGAGTTCAAAAATCGAACGTTCGATTGGGTTCGATTGATTTTTTCTCTTTTCGGTGAGTTCGATTTCGTTCGATTGCCAAACTCAATTGAACTCAATCCATGAACTGAGTTCGATTTCATTCGATTTTAAAAGTTCGATTGAAATTCAGTTCGATTGGGTTCGATTTGCTATGCCGGGTATAACTAGAAGAGAAAAAATTGGCATAAATTGGATCTGCTCCAGCTCAAACCAACTCAGCCCTATCTTTCCCTGTACATTCAGTCATCAGCAGTTACCACGGCAACAGTATATGATTGTATGACTGTAAAACTTTCTCTATGGCACCATACATGCTGATTGGAAAACATTTTTCTTTAACTTATAGTAAAAAATAGTTTGGGGGCTAAAAATGTTGTGAAAACCTGATTTACCCTGAAGAATGGACGAGAAAGCCTTCTGCAAAAAAAAGATTATGCGCCGCCATGCCTGTTTCCCACGAGTGTCGCGCGTGATTCGCGCGGCTAGAACCCAGTCTTAAAACTGAAACTGTACGTCCAGACGACACTACTGCATACAATTTTTATGTTATGAACGGCAAAAATAGTTTATAACCTCTACATACCTTCCCTAGATAAAGCTGCTTCAAAATCTTCATCACTGGAAGATTCGGATGGCTCATCACGGAACTCATGCATTTGATCATCAGGGTCATGCAGTCTTGCTTTCTTTTCATCATCTCCCAAACTGTGCAAACGTCCCGCGTCATCTTTCGTTATCCAACGTTCACTTTTCACATCATAATAAGCCTGTCGATGTTTCCAGAAAGTCGACCTAGATAAGTATTCATTGCAATGTCCACACCACACTCTAGTTTGTTTTCTCAGACGGGAAGACATTTTCCAGCGAAATACATTCGCGCTCGCGACAAAATATGCAAGTTCTCAATGATCACTCGTCTGGTGCGAGATTCTGTTCCATGTCATAATGGCGTGTTATCGGCGTGACATCGTGACAAGCCGCCAACCAATCACGCACTGTCTTTATAGCAAAAGCCAATCAAAAACCATCATTTATGGCGCGGATTTGGCGGTTCGCTTTGTCGGCAGTTTTTGTCGGCGTGACATGAAAGCAGTCGTATTTCCTGTGTTGCGCGTCCTTTCGTCAGTTCAGAAGCCTCTTGCTTGAGTTCGTGGCCAGATTCGTGATAGACTGCACTCTTCATAATGGAAGATCAATATGTCGTTTTACTTGAAAGGGTTGTGGCTGAAAATGTTCGTCTCAGAGAAGCGATGGAAGCGCGAGACAACGAACAACGACGAATGTTTGAGGAACTTGCTTCAAAAATAGAGAGCTCTAACACTGAACCAGAAAGATCAGGACGATCGAGTAGGAAAAGAAGGAGGAAAATCTCAGTCCCGCAGCAGTGTCGCGTAAGTATAAATATTTCTGTTACTTTTCTGTTATCAGAAATACTTTGGAGCGACTGATTGCGACCACGAATTGTAAATTCAAAGTTTAAGTTTACTTGCTCATGCTCGATTACTCGCTGGGTGACAAACAAAACACAGCGTGACATGGATTGAGCTTCGATCTTCATTTATGTTCTCCGTTCTTTAGCGACATTTGTGACAGTTTATGCTAAGCGTTCGTTAGTTTTACGTTCGTTTGTAAGATGTAAAAATCATAGCAAGGAAAATTCTCACATTAAGATGGGACAAAGCCATTCTCGACCCCAGAGCCCTTGTCTTTTATCACGTGACCTTACGGCGACAAGGGCTCTGGGTAACTCTGCGCAGCCGTAGCCAAAATCTGGCTATATGGGTTTCCCAGCGCATGCTCGGGCAGTTGTGGTTTTATGCAAATTTAGATTTGGCAGTTGTGGTTTTATGCAAAATTAAATTTAGATTTGGCAGTTGTGGTTTTATCCAAAATTAAATTTTAGTTATTATTCTTGTGTTGCTAGTTAAGTTAAGCCATTTTTTTCAAAGTACACGAACAATGACGTACAGAATGTGGCTTCTTTAAATATGAACAACATACACAAGGATACCGAAAAAAGATTTTTTCTTTTGTAATTGCAGCAAGACGTTAGAAAGATGTACAAAGCCCTTTCACAGAATGAAGATTTTGATGGCTTTAAGTTGGATGAGAGGTAACAATAGCCATTAAATACAATCATGTATATTGGGAGGCGTATACATGTATACTGAGCAGGAGGTCTGTATGGGAGAATCTTGACCTTGGTCATGAGTACAGACCTCACTGCGTTCAGTCTGTACTTCTGACGTCCTCGGTCAAGATTCTCCCATACAGACCTCCTGCTCAGTTAAGGTGGCCGAACATAGTTTTCAGCGCGCGCTCTAAAGGCTTTGCTGATGCTAGGCAGCGCGCGCACAAAGATTACAAAATAACAAACATGGCGCCGATAAAGCGAGGTTTATTTGTTTTATGCCTGTGAAGTATGTGGTATTTTCCTTCTTAAAATGACACACACTGTGTCAGGTTTGATCTTTTGTTGGACTGTTATGAAATAAATATTCAGCATATAAAAAATCCAGCATTTTTTTAGGATATTCGCCATTATGCCAGAAGCCAATGAATGCATTGCCATGGCAACAGCACACACGCCACCTTAACTATCAAAATACGAAAGCCCATCCTTTTATCCAATATCATGCAAAGTTTGGAGACTTAGAGATCAGTCGTTTTAGAGAAACGGTAAATGGGGCGCAGGTATCATATAAACTGTGTTCAGCCACCTTAATAAGAGGTAAATATAATATAAATATACAAATAAATAAATCCCATTTTTACTTTTTTAGCTTTTTAGCAGAGGCTAACCAGACTGCCACCAAGACAATTATTGAGGCAGTCATAGCTGATCGTGGTGGCACTGAAAATTGCCCCTGGTCTCCAGCTGAAATGAAAGGTAACTGCACCTCCCCCTCTATTTTATAGTTTCTGGAACAGAGGTTCAAACCACACATGTAAAACATGGTTAATTGATGCCTCCGAGGGGGAATGGACACAGTTTACTGGAAACTTCCCCTGTATTACTTTTCCATGTTTACCTGGTCTGTCCATAAAGAAGTTCTCTCATATTGGAGAGGGAGGGGGTATGAAAATGTAGTTCTCAGGGGCTCATATCACCTGACATAATCTTTTTGGTGTCTTATCTTCACATCACTGTTAAAACATCCATTATCAGCTGTTCTTTTTTATTTATATCAGATGGAATTGGGTGTTGTCAACTGAAATGATCACACTATTTATATTTACATTGATAAGTCACTCTAAGGGCTGTTGGCACAATGTAGAACACATTCTTTCTTTTCAATGTAAATTTCCATTACTTGAACATGTACTAATATCAAGGACAATTTTTTCCTGTTAAGGGGCTGCTGCGACATACTTAAAGAGTTTGTATGATGCTGCCATGAGGGCAAAAAAGGGCAAGCTGGAGGCTCACAAAGATCTCTGCCGAAGGCAGGGAAGGATGAGAGATGTAAGTTGTTTCCATTATGATACACTTGTACATGCAATAACACATTTATAAAGTACTAAAAATTACCATGATTAGTTTTTCCTTTTGGTTGCTAAGCATAAACAACATCCAGTAGCATTACTGTTTACAAGAATATATGTAAATACATGTACACACAAAACTTGCGTGTAAGAACCTTTATTTGTTAAGTCCAACAAAATAGATTCTTGCATTTAGGGATAGTAATTGAAAGTTCTTAATTTTTATGAAGAAATTTGTTGTTGACTATCAGAAAATAAATAAACAAACTCACCGGGTAATTTCTAACACTGCAATCTTACACCCAAACTTTATCATAAATAAATTTAACTGTAAGCCACTTATGAGAACCTGCCTGACCTTTCCTGGCTAAACAGGTTCATATATTTTATAAAATTGCAATTTTTCTGCCAGTAGGTTCTTAAACCAGTAAGTTATTTTACTCAGGTTTCTAACCGTATCGTCATGTTACAGATACAAGCATCTTTTGAAAGGAAACAATTGGTGCTGCACTTGTTAACCTTGTGCTATTTTGACTTTCCTAGAAAACTCAGAAGAGGCTGGTAACACTGAAGACCATGCCCTGGTCAAATGAGAAAAAGGCACAGGTTGAAGAAGCTGTAGGGAGCCTAGCGTACACAAGCTCAGATGAGTCTGACTTTTCTGAGGATGAAAGTGGTCAGAGCAAGTTAAGCAGATACCTTGTCAAAAGGCTTCCATGGGAGAGGACTTCTCTAACTAAAGCTAAGAGAGAGCTTGATGAGGCTTATTCCAGAAGCCTCGAATCCAAAAGGGTACACCTGGTGACAAGACGCCCGCACCCAATGCCATCAACAAGACGCCGACCCACTGAGCCTCTAGAATGGGCAGTCAGGGCTGAGAATCCAGCCCCTACACCTGGCACCCGGCCATCTTCATCTACATGTACTAGAACTCCAAGTCATCCTACGCCAGCAGTTATACCACCCACCAGCACCCGTCCTCCTTCATCTGGAACTCCACCTACCCGCACCCGTCCTCCTTCATCTGGAACTCCACCTACACGCACCCATCCTCCTTCATCTGGAACTCAACCTACCCGCACCTGTCCTCCTTCATCTGGAACTCCACCTAACAGCACCCATCCTCCTTCATCTGGAACTCCACCTTCCCGTACCCGTCCTCCAACAACTGGAAGTCCACCCACCCGCCCTTCTCCTTCATCTTGTCCAGCAAGAACTACAACTCCATCCCCCAGTACCAGTTCTGCCCGTCTGCCAGCAACAGTGACGCCATCCCCCAGCACCCTTTCTTCAAGATCTGGAACTTCATCCCTCTTACCTGACTGTAGCTCCACTCCCAAGACATCCAAACCAAAAAAAACTTTAAAGTCAAAAAAGGACGTGGCCCATAGGCGTTCTGCTTCGCCAGCTTATTGATATTTTTACAAGTACATTCTTTTTTTTAATTTATATTTTTGTAACAACTTTTTTTGCAGTGATGCTACCAAATAGGTAACAGTTTCTATTTTTACTACACTTGGGATTGCATTTTTTTTTATTTTGACACTTGTTTCAAGGCATTTGATACAAACATTGATACAAGAACATGTGTTAAAGTTTCTGTTCAACTTGTTTTTTAAAAAAAGAACGAAGTTTTCAACTTTACATATAGTTGTGCATTTCAAGAAAAAAGCCTTCAATATTTCAAGCAAGAATTAAATTATAAGACAAGGTATTCAAAGATTCTGCTTTAGGAATGAAGTTTTCAATATTAGTGGTAACTGATGTTATTTTGTAACAAGGTTTTCAATTTTGCATTTGTCTGTTACAGTTAGACTTAAAGAGATGATAGAACAAGATTTTAAATGTTTCTGTTCAACTTGTCTTTAAGATAAGAATGAAGTTTTCAATTTTACATATAGTTGTGCATTTCTAGAAAAAATGTTTAAATATTTCAAGCAAGAATTAAATTATAAGACAATTTATTCAAAGCTTCTGCTGTAGGAATGAAGTTTTCAATTTTACTTTATTTTAAGTGGTAACTGATGTTATTATTGTAACAAGGTTTTCAATTTTGCATTTGTCTGTTACAGTTAGACTTAAAGAGATAGAACAAGATTTTAAATGTTTCCGCTACAGTATGAAAATTGATTTAAGTACAAATGGTGACATATAAGAAAATGATTTTTGAACAAATAAAACAGAATTTGATTGAATACAGCAGATTGATTGATTTAACTGGCTCCTTTCCTTCCCAACGTTGTATTTTCTCATTTTATTTTCCCTCTAGGGTTTAAAATAATTATGCAAAGAAGAAAATAGCAGAAAATGTAATCATGTCTGTTGTTGAGCTTTGCCTTCCAGCCAATACATGAGCATGTTGCAACTTTACACCAGTTATACATTTAAATCTGGCTTACTAAGATGCCTAAACGCTTTATTTAGATGTAAAGGTGGCGTAAATGTGGAGTTTATACCAGCTATACGTATTATGTCTGTTGTCGCGCTTTTTCTGCAAGACAAGAGCATGTTAACTTTACATCACAGTACATATAAATCTGGCCTAAAGATGCCTATACACTTTATTTAGATCTATGTAAAGGTGGCGTAAATGTGAAGTTTATTCAAGCTTTACGTTGGCTTTTAGTCCACTTACAGGTGTTTCTTTACTCCAGCTTTACGCAAAAGTGTAAATGTAGCGTAAAGCTTAACTTTACGTAATGTAAAGGTCGTGTAAAGGTGTGTAAATCCAAACTTTACACCAGCTTTACGCTCACATTATGCTAACTTAAATTTGCCTTTTCATGCTGTGAACAGTGAGCTAAATACAGTCGCAGTAGAAAAAGTATTTCAGTGTCAATGACTATGTAACAATTCTTGGATGAGGCTAAGTATGAAGTGAACAATTATGCAGATCGAGGAGAATGTTATTCACCGAGGCCGAAGGCCAAGGTCCGAGCGGCATTGCCCTCGATAAAATGTTTCCTCTACTAATGCCTGAGTATCGTGGGTACCCAGTATGAAACTGTGCTTGCACTGTTAAACGTCACTTTTAAAGTGAGGGCAGCCGTGTGAGTACAAAGCAATGGATTGCCACAGAACTAACAGAAAACGAGCACGCGTAAGAAGTGCCCGTGTTCAAGGTCTCGAATTTGCACTAGGAAACCGGCACCATATATACTCAAAGTCTGGGGTGGATACTTGAAAAAAGGGCATGTTCACATTAGTGCCCAGCGATCGAGTTCCGTGTCAATAACGGGCAACAAGCCCAGACACCAATGCCCTAAGTTCACTGTATTTCGCGCTTGTTCTGTTCTACAATATGGTTCAACTAAAATTCAACTTATTTAGAATCCAAATGAAACTGCGTTGGAAAAGGACAAGCTTGATAAACTTGAGCCCTTCGGTTGAGACTGATGTTTGAGGCGATCAAGGCAACGATGGTTTTTAGTGATAACGATCATTATAACCTTACTTAGTCGTTATCGGAACCTGTTCAGACACAGTGTGGGCGATGGCAGGTTAGACGGGAACTTTTAGGTACCATATATACGGTTTCTCTTAAATCAAGCGACCACTAAAAGAGTGCAGTTTGTAATGTGTATAACTATCGCACCTCATCACCCACCCATCATGGGGATTCAGAGTCTTATGAGAACCAGTAATTTACTATTTAAATGTGCAATCAGAATCACTTTGTGGCCAGCCTACGAATACAGCTCACTCTCAGTCAAGCGCCGCAACCGAGATGATGTGAACGAGCTGAGGGAGTTTTCATACAGACATTCTTTTAGAGGCAGTGGGCATACAACTTTCTTTGTGTTTATATTCTCGCAAGGTCTTTTAGTTTGGTTCAGTTATTTGGCTGTCTTGTACTCGTATAATCATTTAAAAATTTTCCAACTTTTTTAATTGGCGCTTACTCAACAAAGAGAGCGACGCTGATGTCGTTCGTCCAATAACTCTACTCTGTTATTGCAAAATTTGATGTGATTGTTCTGGATTTGATCCTGAAATGCGCCACTCACAACTTAAATGGTACTTCGAAGGCGCGCGTTCGGACTTCAACTTGAAAATTCTAGTTATTTTGACTAGTCTAAAGAGAGAATTCTCTCTGTCTAGTCTAAACAGTGTTGATTGATAGGCTAGTCAAAATAACTAAAGCAGTTATAATTAATAGTAAATACCCAGTCCTTCCCGGTTTTGGCTAACTGTATGTAATTGCTCGACAATAGACTGTTGGCTTAAAAATGGAAGTGTTTAAGGCTACATATACATTCGTAAATACGTCGATGTTTCAGTCAGTAGGCGGCAACACTGTGATGGATATTGTTAAATACCAAACGGAGAATATACGACAAGTTTATATGACCCGAATGCCCCAGCTGAACTTCAAAAATTGCTCTTGAAAGATCTCCTTTATTAATGGCTGCAGCACGTAATTAAAGACCATTAAAGTAATAATAGGTTATGTTAAGGCCCACTGATATTTGAATCATTTTTGGGCACGCGAAAACAATCAGATCAGACTGACTGCTTTCAAGCATGAATCGCAGTTAGGGATTTAAAAGCTCAGACGGGAATCTAGTTTGAGTACAACACAGAGGTCTAAATGTCATTTACGAAGATTGAGTGGACCAAATAAATTATCGAAGATAAAAAACTTATGACATAACAATAAGGGATGGAGTATTTGAAGATCTTGCAATAGCGTTACATCTGCAACAAGGGCATTACAGTATACCGTGGTTGAATGTTAAAGTACAACAGAAACAATCAAAAAGAGTCAGAAAGAGTTTGAAACGCTTACCTCTATAAAAACTGATTCAGAACTCAAAATATAACCATTTTAGTTATAACCCACTATCACTGGACTCAACCTCGTTCTGTAGAGCACAAACGCAGAGGCATGTAATCTTATGGAAGTTGTGTTATAAAAAAAACCCAGCCTGTTATATTCTGCAGCGCATTTTGCATCGAGTAATTGTTTCTCTGTAGCTGGGGTGTTCCCTTAAGCGAAATACTAGAGCCTTGACTTGTCCCAGTTAGAGCAAATTTGGACAAAAATTTGAAAGCTAAAGAAATTCTGACAGCCTGACACATTCCATTTTCAAGGGTATTGGCTTACACCCGGAAATAAAAAATGAAAATCGTTGCGATGACATGCAAACGATGTTTTGTATGATACCTAGAATGAAATATCAGCAAATTAAACTAACATTCAACTACTTACCCATCCTTTATGACTGATGTGAACGAGTGAGTTTTCATGTAGACATTCTTTTCGAGGCAGTGGGCATACAACTTTCTTTGCGCATAATTATATTACTGCAAGATCTTTTAGTTGGGTCAGTTACGTTATTTGGCTGTCACGTCCTCGTTAATCATTAGTGAGTTTACGCAACAGGACGGCAGGAAGAAGAGGACGGCAAAATGTTTGTGTGTGACAAACTTGACAGGGCTATAACTTGCATGTTATGTCGTGATCGTCACTTAGCGTTAATGTTTTCTTGTTTTCACAAAAGCATCTGTTTAAAGGAAAGTGATGTTTGGCGAAAAGTTATTTCAAACAAAATTGTTGTCACGGTTGTCACACAAGGTTTGCCGTCCTCTTTCCTCTCCCGTCCTGTTGCGTAAGTTCACTATTATAAATATTTCCATTGAACATTTTTGGCGCTAAAACTCAACAAAGAGAGCGCCGCTGATGTCGTTCGTCCAATAACTCTGTTATTGGACAATTTGATGTGGTTGTTCTGGATTTGATCAGCCATAGCATGTTTTGTCTATGTCTATGTGTGTTTTTTTATACAAGATGTTTATCCTAATCAGTATTTCCTCGTTTCAGTCATCCAACGTCGTATTTACCTTGAGGCTGAATTTAAAGCCCTCTTTTGGCTTTTCAGATTGCTGAGTGATCCTTACACGTGATTGATATTGGACAATGTGCCTACTTAATATCAATGAGTTTTGAACATCTTTTTAAGTATGCCACAGGTTTTTTTTTTTAAGTGTTTGCACGAGTTCTTTAGTGGTTCTCGCCGTTACGGTCGATGTTCATCAGGCAAATACAGGTCCTAAGAGAGGCATACGACCTCTAACTTTTTCCTCTTAACTTACATCCCCATTCTTTTGTTAAGAATGTAGACGAGTAATTGTTGGGATCGAAATGTTTAATCGAGGATGCCTGAAAGTGCCCTCAGGAGGAGGGAGGGAGAGGGAGAGTAAACGAAGTCCAACTCGACGAAATCGACGCAGATTATCCTATTGTATGTTTCTCAGATCGAATTAGAAGTAGTAGAGCGATAGATGTACGGAAGCGTGCAGAAAATCGTATCCTTAGCCCCCTTCCATCCTCCAGCGACAGCGAGGAGACGCTTAAGGTGATTCCTGTTGAATTCAACGCATAACAAGAAAATAAAAGAGAATCACTGATTAAC